GGATATCCATATCCGATAAAGAATGTTTTTAAAATTTTATTTTATATATAAATTTTAATAATTATTTAATTTAATTTAATATTTTAATATAATTTAGTATATTTAAATATTTTATTTAATATAATTTTATTTATTATTTGATAAATAACTGTTTTAAAATTTTGTTTATTATTTAAATTTTAATAATTATTTAATTTAATTTAATATTTTAATATAATTTAATATATTTAAATATATTAAATATTTTATTTAATATAATTTACTTTTTTGTTATTATTTTTATTTTTAATTATTTTATTTTTATATTTTTAATATAATTATTATTATAACATAAATCATATTTTAATAATTATTAAAATATAAAATTATATTAAATAATATTTGAATTTTAAATTTAGTTATTATTAAGGTGATATAGAATCTTTTTAATAAGAAAAAGAAAAAAATAAGAATATATTTATTAAAATTAAAAATAAAATTTTCTATAAAGTTAAAGGTGTAGGATAATGATAAAATGTCAGAAGGTTAAAAGTGGAATTTTTGGAGGTACAGGATGAGATCTTGGAGGTGTAGGATGAAACAGTAAAAAAATAAAATAAAAATATTGAATCCATCAGACCCACAAGATTTTTTCCATAAAGGCAAACGGTAAATTAACCTTAAAAAAAGCGACCGGCATCGTATTTCTTTATCAACATTTTAGAGGAATAATTCAGATATTCATAAACAAATTTATTTCTCATCATTGAAAAATTGTACAAGGTCTAGTGTATATATTTCATATTTTTATTTTATTTTTAATTATCTATAAAATTTTAAGAAACTAATATAAACTACACATACATAAAAAATAATCACACATGTCAACAACAAAAATATTACTGATCGTTTAATTCTTTTATCATTATATTATACTACAAACTATCTAATATTTGTTATATTTTCTTAAGAAATGCAAGGACAAAAAATGTCTTTTTGCAATAAATAATTAATAAAGAATTTATTTTTTACAAAAAATGGGTTAAGATTTATTTAAATACTGGTACATTATATCTATAAACAAATATATATTCAATAAAAATTAATTCTATGTTAATTTTTTATAAAATTTAGTTTGTTTTTCACATAAATAAACACATGAGGATCAGTTGTTTTTTTTAAAACAAACCAAAAAATTATATCAATTTTGATATATTTTTATTTTTAAGTTATTTTCTTAGAGTAAAATTTATTAGTTTACATTATTGTTAGGGCATGTTATTTCTTCAAAAAAATTATTAGATATTGTTTATATTTTAGTTAAAAGAAAGTAAATACAATTTAGCATTATTCTAACATAGTTCCAACAGTAATAAATTAAGTAAGCTAAAATCAAAATTAGATATATATTATTAAAAGATAATTAAATATATTGTTGGTCTATAATACA